TGCCAAAAAGATTCAAATGGCAGCGCCCACTCGTTTGCGGTAAATAAGGTCAATAGCTCATGTCTTTGGACTGTGGGGGAAACCGGAGCACCCTGAGGAAACTCATGCGAACACGGGGAAAACATGCAAACTCCACACACAAATGCCAACTGACCCAGCTGGAACTCTAACCAGCGACCTTCTTGCTGTAAGGCGACAGTACTAACAACTGAGCCACCCTGTTTTTGTACATAAATATTACAAATATTTATCATAATGTCTATCATAATGTCTACAAATAATTTCTGTCCATATTGTTATATCAATAGATATAGTAGGCTTATCACTTTCTGCATTAGTGCATCATTTCGGTGCAATAATATGGTACACTTTATTTATTCATTTTATTACATTTTGACAACATAAAAACAAAAAGACATACAATAAGTACCAAGATCACTGCATACAATCTTATTTATATTCATTCATTCATTTTTTTTTCGGCTTGGCCCCTGATTATCAGGGGTCGCCACAGCGGAATGATCTGCCAACTATTCCAATATATGTTTTACATAGTGGATGCACTACCAGCCACAACCCAGTACTGGGAAACACCCATACACTCTCGCATTCCTATGACCAGTTTTGTTTACCCAATTCACCTATACACCCAGAACAATATACCTAGCACCCGGTGGAAACCCGCGAACACGGGGAGAACATGCAAACTCCGCACAGAAATGCTAACTGACCCAGCTGGGACTCGAACCAACGACCTTCTTGCTGTGAGGCAACAGTGCTAACCACTGAGCCACTGTGCCGCCATCTTATTTACATTTATAAGTATTTACATTTGATCAGATCCTGCCATACAAAGTTCTGTTAAAGGTTACATATCAAAGATTGAAAATCGCTATTAATAAACCATTAATATTGTCTTATAGCCATATAGACACCTAATTTGCTGCTTATTAATAGTTATTACGATATAGTTTAGTTTATATATTAAGTAGGATTAAGGATGTAGAATAAGACCAACAATGTCTTAATAGGCAGGTTAAAAGCCACTACAGTTAATAGTGAGAATTGGTTCTTAAGCTAAAATGTTACTCAATATACTAATTCTAGTGCTAATTCTTCGATATAGTATGCCAAAGGCAGTAGGTTTGAAATAAATAGTTCTTGCAGAGAGATATCAGACCTGTACAGAAAACATCAGACCAGTGTATCTGTCTGACAGCTTGACAAATGGAACAGAGTAAAGGTTGCAGAGAGAAAAGTAACAACTCAATAACAGAGGCATTTAAACCCGACACCACCAGCACAAATGCTTCTTCTGACACTCATTTACAGCCGATCCGCCTCAGACTCCTGCCATTGTGTGTTTGATCTCTCAGTTTCTCTCAGTTCTCTCGATTCTCATTCTTAACTAGTGGCTAATTATTATTATTAGATAATGGCTACTTGTTATTAGAACTAATAAAATACATATTCTACATGATCTCTAATCCTCCCTATCTAAACCGAACTACTATCTTAAATCTTAAATTTAAGTTTACTGAGGCAAACGTTTTAGCTAATGGTTTATTAATAGCAAGAATTGTACCCTAAAATAAAATCTGACCCCTAGTTCACTTTAACTTAGGCAAATGGAACCCAAGAATAAAATAATTTGTACCCAATGATATTAAATCACGATGTAAATTTAACTTAAACACTGCTGCTAATTAATGTGTATCTCTTAATTTTTTTAATTAAGAATGTTCTGTTGACTATAGCAGTACAAATTTAACAATTACTTTGAAACCGTACATGGACTGGGTGAATAAAAAGAGCATTAGCACAGTTATTGTAACAATCATTTTTGTTTTCAATAAAATCGCCAGCATTAGCTCTTCATTTCTTTACTGTAGTGACCTCAAAAGTTTAATTGAAACTCTTCTAAATCTCCAAAATAAGTAAAGATTAAGTCCTTCTGCTTAAAACATTACAAAATGAACAATTTTCCCCACTTAATGCAATCCCGCACAGTATGCTGGGAACTAATCATTCACTACAGAGTTAGTTTTGCCCCTAAAATCTATTCATGTTGTTCTAACTCAAAATAATGAACTTAATTTGCCTCACAAATTTATGTTGATAAAATGTTAATAATTAAAAATATTTATATAGTCAACAATAGTGTTGTTTTAGTTCAATTTTAACAAGTAATTTGAACAAACAACATTTTTTGAGAGTATTCATGATTAAATGTGCACTAATTATAAATATTCTATATAGAAAACAAACCCTTTCACCTTTCTGATTTGCACTAGACAAATTTCTACAATCAATCACCAAAAAAAAACATTGCGAGCTTCACATAGATGAGTGGGCTTAACAAACCACCTGTAAACACTCTTCTCTTTCTCTCTCTCAATACCCCCCCCCCCCCCTAATTCTAGCACTTAATTCTCTGAGCACAAAGAGTTCCTTTGTATATGTAGCACTTGTTGTGTGCATTGCCTCTTCTAGTTGAATTGCTGAAAGCCTCTTCAATTGTAAGTCACTTTGGACAAAAGCAACGTATTTAGAGCACACTTCATCGACTGATGTGCAACTTCACAGTTAGTTCTGGTTATTATTGACAGGACGGTGACAGACTAAATTGACGTAACAGGGCACAGGAGCGGGTCACTGATTGCATAACTCTAATAAATCAGTGTTAGTTCATGCACACTTTCACCAGAACAGCCCTTAAAGACTGACACCCAAAACTCTCATTTGTCCCAGAAAGGCATCAATATCCAGTTAAATATCCAGTGTAATTTGATTGCATACTGGGCTTGATTTAACAGATTAAGCTAAAAGGTTTCACAAATCAGTGTCTGTGCTCACATTAATATAATTTAAAGGCGCCTTCGGATTAGTTTACCACTGAAAATTTTGACAAGTTTTTTAAAAACTGACAAAATGATAATATTTTACAGTAATGATGAACTACGTTTGGTAATATATATATATATATATATATATATATATATATATATATATATATATATATATATACAGTAAAATATACTGTATATGTAAAATACCTTGGAAGTAAATTCATTTTTTAAAGAAAATCTGCAGCTCAAATATAGCACATTAATAAAGCAGAATTTTTACATTTTTGTTAAAACCACCCCATATTTTGCCCTATAAATGATCAGTTTTATGATTTTATAAGAATTACCATTGCTCCCTTGAATTTCAGCATTGCTAGCATAAGCTATATTTAACATTATAATGTATTATATTTAAGATTTTGTTTTAGATTTTCTGCTGTTTTAGCAGTTGTTTTTGATGTATTTAAATTAGGGATGTAATATTTATATTAAGGCTATAATATATTATTATACACTATTTGAAAAATGTCTTGCCGCCTATCCAAGTTTTTGGAACAATAAAATAATAACTTCTAGTAGGCCATTTTGTATCAGAAGTGGTTTATATGAAAGGCAAAGCCTATTAGATTACACTTCTACCAAAATAGAATATGAATTGATTTTTAATTATTTAATTAGGACAGTAAGGTCTGACTTTGCTGAAACAAAAGTCTTGACACTTAACAGAAATAATGTACAGTATAGAATATAAAGTCATGCTGCAGTGAAAAGAATTAATATTGTGTATGACTCCCAAGAGCATGGAGGACTTATTTAAATAACTTATTAATAAAGTCATCTGGTAAAACCAAAGTGTTCTTGCAGGACTTCCAGAATTCATCAAGATTCTTTGGATTCATCTTCAATGCCTCCTCCTTCATCTTACCCCTGACATGCTCAATAATGTTCATGCCTGGTGACTGGACTGGCCAATCCTGAAGCACATTGACCTTTTTTGCTATCAGGAACGTTGATGTGGAGGCTAAAGTATGATAATGAACACTGTCCTGCTGAAGAGTTTGCCCTCTCCTGTGGTTTCTAAAGTAATGGGCAGCACAAATGTCTTAATATCTTAGGCTCAAGTTGCCATCCACTCTTCAGATCTCTTTCACACCCCCATACTGAATGTAACACCAAACCATGATTTTTCCTTCACCAAACTTGACTGATTTCCAGAGAATCTTGGGTCCATGCGGGTTCCAATAGGTCTTCTGCAGTATTGTGATGATTGGGATGCAGTTCAACAGATGATTCATTGGAAAAATCCACCTTCTACCACTTTTCCAAATGATCAACTAGATGTCAAGTTTTTATTTGTTGCTCTTACAACTGGGATCGACGACAAGACTTTTGTCAGGTGGTCTCTCTCTCTCTCTCTCTCTCTCTCTCTCTCTCTCTCTCTCTCTCTCTCTCTCTCTCCCTCTCTCTCTCTCTCTCTCTCTCTCTCTCTATATATATATATATATATATATATATATATATGCACACACACACACAGTTGTAGTCAGAATTATAAGCTCCCATTTGAATTTAATTTTCTTTTTTAAATATTTCCCAAATGATGTTTAACAGAGCAAGGACATTTGCACAGTATGTCATTTTCTTCTGGAGAAAGTCTTATTTCTTTTATTTCAGCTAGAATAAAAGCGTTTTTTTATTTTTTTAAAAAACATTTTAAGGTAAAAATTTACCTAACTAGCTAAGCTAATAAACCTGGTTGAGCCTTTAAATGTCACTTTAAGCTGTATAGAAGTGTCTTGAAAAATATCTAGTAAAATATTATTTACTGTCATCATGGCAAAGATAAAAATAAAACAGTTATTTGAAATGAGTTATTCAAAGTATTATGTTTAGAAATGTGTTGAAAATAATCTTCTCTCCGTTAAAAATTGGGGGGGGGGGATAAACGGGGCTAATAATTCAGGGGGGCTAATAATTGTTACTTCAACTATATATATATATATATATATATATATATATATATATATATATATATATATATATATATATATATATATATATACACATACACACACAATAAATGTATTTATTTATTTATTTAGTTAGTTAGTTAGTTAGTTTTTGACGTTGTTGATGTTTCCTCAGACTGACCTCTAGTTTGCCACTGATGTCTGTCCTCTGTCTGTCAGTGTGTGTGCTGCTGGTGTCCGGCAGGCCGTCCGTCTGTCTGTGTGTGTCTGTGCTGAAGGCCGCCTGATAGCTGGTCTCTGGCGGCGGCTCGGCACCTCCTGTGCCCAGGAAAGTGGGCCGTTTGTGGGCAGGCTTTGACGGTCGTGCTCCAGACCACGGCTGGTACTCCTGTCTGAATACAGAGAGATAAAGTACATCAGACAGAGAAACAGACAGACAGAGCCCTGAGGAGCTGCAGATAAGAGCAGCAGATGTTTGACTGAGTTACCGTCAAGCAACAGGTGACCATTGCTAACACTTTACTTTAGCTGAAATGATTCTCCATATTCTGTAGCTGTACATTTACATTCAAACATCTATACAGTACAGTGCAAAAGTCTTAGGCCACTGGTATTTTCACCAAAAAAAAGGTTTAAAGTCGGTTGTGTCTATAGTTTTCAGTAGCATGTCAGTTTGAATATCAGTTTAAATTTCCAAACATTATTTTTGTCATTAATTGTAATTCTACAGTGAGATTATTGCCTGCACAAGGAGTCTGACAACAGCCAGTGCTTCACACAGAGGTCTGATCTGATCATCATCCAGTCCGTCTTGAATGACATGAAGAGAAGACACAGAACAAACTGAGACAAAGTAAATTCAGAAGTCCTTTGTCAACACCTCTAAGATGCTTCAGAAAAACGACCTGCAAAGCTACAGTACTGTTCAAAGTTTGAGGCACTTGTGTAAAAATGCTGTAAAATGAAGATGCTTTCCAAAATAATGCATAAATACATTTTATTTATCTATTACCTAAATCAAATCTACATTTATATGACCAGACTTTGCATTTAAACACTTGCTACACTTGCCCAAAGTTTCAGGTAGTTTTGCCTATAAATAACCGACTTTAAAGCTTTTTTGGTGAAAATACTAGTGGCTTAAGACTTCTGCACAGTATTGTATAAGAAAACAACAGTGAATTATTCATCACAATGTATTCACAGATTACACTTTTTCGAAAGCAACTAGTGCTGGGCAAAGCGTAATAATTGCAACATATGATATCAAGATATATGTATGTATTTTATATATATATATATATATATATATATATATATATATATATATATATATATAATGAATACTTTAATACTTTACGTATCCACTGTATATATATATATATATATATATATATATATATATATATATATATATATATATATATATATATACACATATACATATATATATATATATATATATATATATATATATATATATATATATATATATACACACACATATATATACACATATATATACACATATATATATATATATATATATATGTGTGTTTTGTTATGCATTTGGAGCTGATGTTGTGTTGTGCGCTGTGGAGCATGCGCAGCTTTCTCTCTCTCTCTCCCCCTCCCTCTAGAGCTGCGCTTGATTGCGGTCCAGCCGTGTTGCGTGTGGGAGCGTATATAAGCTGGAGGAGAGGAACAATGGGGAGATCTTTCTGCTCGGTGCAGGTCGCAAATCTCCGTCGTCGTCGCTGCTGTTGTTCCGAGCGTCTCCTATCTCCTGCCCCAAATTGTTGGTTGACTTGGTGTGAATAGATTTCTGTTACTGACAATTTAATTATTTTCTTAAACGGCTCTCTGTGAAATGTGAATCTATTGGCTTTTCTGATTAAATACCTATTTATATATATTAGTTTTGGAGAAACAGAAGCGGTAGGTTGGGAATCGCCATTTACTTTAAAACGTTTTCTCCTGGTTTGTGGTAGCAAGGGAGAAAGGGAAGCTTGCTGTAATTTTATTTGGGGTACTTTTATTTGAGCAGGTAAGTTAGAATTATTTCCCCGCAAGTTAGCTGTCTTTTTGTTTATTATTTTGGCCTGGATTCCCTTCCGAAGAGATGCTTCTATCTTTGTTTTCTAAGTAAATAAATATTGTTACTACTTGATCAGCGTTGTGATTATTGTGAGTTGGGACAGGAGAAGGGGAAAACCCTAAATTGAGTATTTGAGTTTCTCTTTATTTATTTTTTTTTACACTTGTTATTGTTCCCACCAACCCTAGACTGGTCGGGACGTAACAATTGGGGGCTCGTCCGGGATTATATTATATTATTATTATAACGTATCAACAATTTATGTTCAGTGCTTTCTGGCGATAAAGATAAAAACGTATATATATATATATATATGTATATATATATAGGGCACGGCAGTGGCGCAGTAGGTAGTGCTGTCGCCTCACAGCAAGAAGGTTGCTGGTTCGAACCTCGGCTCAGTTGGTGTTTCTGTGTGGAGATTGCATGTTCTCCCTGCCTTTGCGTGGGTTTCCCCGGGTGCTCCGGTTTCCCCCACAGTCCAAAGACATGCGGTACAGGTGAATTGGGTAGGCTAAATTGTCCGTAGTGTATGAGTGTGTGTGTGAATGTATGTGTGGATGTTTCCCAGAGATGGGTTGCTGCTAGAAGTGCATCCGCTGCGTAAAAAACTTGCTGGATAAGTTGGTGGTTCATTCTGATGTGGCGACCCCGGATTAATATCACATGGTCCTAGGTATTCAGATATAATTAACTCAGGTGCTGTCCATTTCTTCTGATCATCCTGGAGATGGTTCCATGCCTTCTTTTGGTTCCAGCTGTGTTTGATTATACTGATTGGCTTTGATTAGGAAAGCCGCACACCTGTCTATACAGCTCACAATGCATGCCAGAGCAAATGATAATCATGAGGTCTGCCTGAAGAGCTCAGAGACAGAACTGTGGCAAGGCATGGATCTGGCCTATGTTACAAAAAGATTTCTGTTGCACTTAAGGTTCCTAAGAGCACAATGGCCTTCATAATCCCTAAATGAAAGACGTTTGGGACAACCAGAACCCTTCCTAGAGCTGGCTGTCTGGCAAAACTGAGCTATCAGTGGGAGAAGAGCCTAAAGAACCCTGTGGCTGAGCTCCAGAGATGCAGTCGGGAGATGGGAGAAAGTTGTAGAAAGTCAGCTATCACTGCAGCCCTCCAACAGTCAGGGCTTTATGGCAGAGTGGCCCGACACATGAAAGCCTGCATGGAGTTTGCTAAAAAATATCTGAAGGCCTTAAAATGGTGAGAAATAAGATTCTCTGATATTCATTCATTCCTTTTTTTTCGGCTTTATTTATCTGGGGTCGCCACAGCAGAATGAACCGCCTTTCTCTGATATATATTTTATAAATAAACATTTTCTCAAATGTATAAATGCATGTGTATATTTATATATACCTAAAAAATATACACAGACAAACACTGTAAAGGTTCACTGTAAAAGTTACAGTAACTTAGTAGAAATTTTGGTTGCCACTATGAATACATTTGCCAGCACACTGTAAAATAACTTACAATTTACTGTAAAATTTGCAGTAACTTACAGGAGATTTTGGTTACTGCAAATTTTACAGTAAATTGTAATTATTCATTAAGTTCCTGTAAATTTTACAGTAATTGTCTCTACAGTGCACTATCAATGCGACTGCTGGGGTAAAGAATACCTCTCCCGTATTGGTCTCTTCAGCCACCAGCGACGCTTTCTCAGACAATCAGTCATGCCTCAAGGTAAGAGTTAATATACGTCATCCATGGTCAACACTGACCGACAGAGGCCTGCTACAACTATGTTAAAACCTTTTATTTGGATGAGATTAATCTTTGCAACACTTGATTATAATTAGGCCTGTGCAATATGATAATATAAATCGTACAAACAAAATAAAAAGTAGTTTCATTATTCAAATTGTTTAATAGTATGCGAAGTCATGGTTATTTTGTGGTGTCGCTAAATACATTGTTTACAGTAAACCTTTTTTTTTTTCATTATTTATATGAGCACAATATTAAACACCGTTACAGAGGTGCAGACATAAGCATGAATAACAGCATTGTGAGAGTTTCAATCTTATGTTTACATTTTGCATGTTATGTAGCTGTTTTACGCTGGACCTGTAATCATTCGCTTTTGAATGGTTTTAAATTTCTATTTTCTTGATCAGACATTTGCCTTCAATTTCTATATAAAGTGAGAAATATGATCATCTATGAAAGAGCAAGTTAAAAGTTTGTGGATTAAAACCTAAAACAATAGGAAACTATAATTTGATTCAATTTACAGAAATGGTGCTTCATCGTGATTAGAACATGAGATGAATTATAAGATTTTTGTCATTTCGCCCTGCCTTAATTATAACGAGTTCATTCTGTTCTCGTCAGATAACTCTGTTTTATTCATTATTTTAGTGTCGTTGTGTTCTTTCATGAGGTGTCGGATGAAATATGCATGACAGTGACTACTCTGTCTGAACATCACTGCAATGCACAAGTCATTACGAGCACATCAGGCCCATTACAGCACACGTTAAACTAACAGCAGAAAACACTCTTCACCACACAGTCAGCAGCTGGAAGACACAACATGTAGGAAAGTTTGTTCACAAACACAAGGACATTAAGCTGTAATATTAATAATAGTATGATTTAGTGTTATTGTATGTTAACTTGGTAGTCCAGATGTTGCATAAATAGTTTGTTTATAAATACATAAAGCATTAATCAGGGTTCATACGGTGATGGAAAACCTGGAAAAGTCATTGAATTTTGACATGGCTTTTTCCAGGTCTGGATTAGTTCTGGAAAAGTCATGGAAATTAGTTGAACAAATATCTGTAAACTTGAATGTAGGTTAGCTGTCTTTATTTATTTTCAGTCTTTGGCTGTGAACATGGTCTCGCATGCTGTTTAAGCATTCACTCATTCATTCATTCATTCATTTTCCTTTGGCTTAGTCTCAATTTCAGAGGTGGCACAGCGGGAAAGAACAGCTATGTATAAGCATTATCTAAATAATTCTTACAATAGATATATGAAATGAATTCAAACCAAATAGATTGTGTTTTATGATAATACATTTAAACGTGCGTTGTTTATTATTATTATTTATCATGATTACATAGACATTATATTAAACATTAGGTCATGAAAATGTACTTGAATGTCCTGGAAAAGTCATAGAAATTTATTAGTAAATATGTGTATGAACCCTGGATAACAACAATAATAATAAGTATTTATTATTTTATGTTATTCTATGTTAACATGGTAGTCTAGATGTTGCAAAAATATGCAGTATTCAGCATAAATGAGAGTGCACCCCCTTTTAAAAACAAATATTTTTATCTATTTCTCTGTCAATATAGACCATATGTTTTAGTGCATTTAAACAAAACAGATTTATTAAATATTTATATTTATTAAAGTAAGAGTTTGGTCACCTAGCATCTTTGGGAATAGAAAGAAACTTTTAAATTCAAACAACTTGCAAAAATAAAAAATAAATAAATACAAACTACAAAATTTCAACAATTAAAAAAAAATGTTTTTCTGGATTTTTCCTGTTTATTAAAATTTTATAGAATATTTTCCCCAACATTTTAATTTAGATTAACTTTTTTTGGATTGTTATCTTTTTTACATTTTTTTTTTAGATTTGAGTTTTAGTACTGTCACATTTTTTTCAATAAAAAATTTTAATCCCTAAAAAGTAAAATATTGATATGCATCCATATTACTGTCAATTTAATGGTTTTACTCCTGAATAAGAACAAAAATAATACAAATAGATCATTTATTCATGTAGAATTCATTTTTATTAACAGTAAAATATTTTTGATTATTATTTGAAGGAGTAATCATTTTTAAGTTTGTAAGACATTTTACTTGCATGAGAACTAAAATAAGATGGAAATAGATTGCAGATTAAAAAATATTTCCATATATTTTTGTTTACTCACTAAATATGCTTAGAAAATAAGGGAAAATATGGAGATTACAGGTATTTAAAACATTAATTCAGGTTCTAGATTTTTTTGTAATGCATTTTACACCCCAAATATTTCTATATTCTATTGTTTTTTATTGTATTGTTTTAGATGGCATTTTGTAGTTTGTAATATGATTTAGCTCCCTAAATGAGCCACATTAAAATATAGTTAAATTATAGTTTACAAATATTTGAAAAATTAATCCATGCATTAATTTACAGATAATTAATTTTACCTTAAAAAAATTAAGTAAATAATTAAATAACGAAAATAACAAACGAACACACACACATACATACACTATATATTGATGATTTTATATATATATATATATATATATATATATATATATATATATATATATATATATATATATATATATATATATAAATTCTAAGGATTTAAGAAGTTAATATTATTATTATTATTTCTTTGCTCACTATAATGTAAATAAACGCATTGAGAAATGTATTATTATTATTATGGCATTTTATCTTTGCAATGTGTTTTTACTAAACAATCTAATGTAACTTTTGCTGGTTCTCAGTCTGGTTCTATATATATATTTAGTCGAGATGATGGAGATTGTGATAAGCGAGTGTACAGAAGTGTGTTGCAGTGCTGAAGAACAGCTCCAGCTAAAGCATCAGCAGCAGTACCTGTATGAGCTCATCTGATCTCCGGCTCTCGGTCTGCCACTGCGCTCCTGTCTGTCCGCCCGCGCCTGACTCGTGCCGTTAGAGTAACCGTTCACCGGGCTGTCCATCACACTGCCGCCTTTCCCTCCGTTGCTAATCCAGGGAAAGTTATCCTTCTTCGGGATGGGCCAGGGTTTGTAATCCTGTTTATATTGGGTGACGCTGGGGAAAGGCACACCCGGGGGCTGGTAGTCCTCACGGGGTTTGTAACTGGGTTCTGTTCGTCCACGGTGCGACCGCCGGACTCCAGCGGCGTGATCCGGCGCGGTGAACTCCACGCTCGGCGCCTGTTCCGTGGAGACGAGTTTGGTGACGGACCGGACCTCCTGTTCCGCGATGTCCGAGTAGTTCTGGATGGTTAACGGAACCGACAAATCAGATTTATCAAACTGGTTCCAGAACCGAGCCAAGCAGCAGACTCTGCTGATGCACGGCCAAGCCATCGCCAAGAAACAAACCAAACCAAAAAAGACAAAATAAAAAGAAAGAAAGAAAAGACTGTAAAACGCGATGAAGTGCTGGGTTACATGAAGGAATGCGAGCGCGCGTCCGTTCCTCGAGAACTGCGCGAGACTGCTCGGTGTCGGGACGCTGTCATTGCACATTCATCTCACGTGATTTGCACTTGATGCAGAAAAAATAATAATCCATAAAGATTTGAGTCGCTGACCCGTGCGCATCCCACGGCTGACTGAGCTAAAGTTAATGCGCTAAAAATCCTCTTTTAATCAAATAGCGCGCTTCCCCCCAGCAGTTCTGGGCATCACAGGCGCGCGCAGCTGACGTGGAGTGAAAGTGATGGCCAAAATGCAGTCTAAACTATCTATCTGAAATCCACCAAATTTACTAAGCTGAGAAAATACTGTTTTCTGAAGTTAATTTTAAACGTGTCGACACGAAAAAAAAGTTCCCACAGAGAATTTGACGTTGAATTGGCATGTGCTGTATTAGGTCAAACAAGCTTTCTAGTACAAGCGTGAGTTGACAGAGACTGGAGTATTTCTAACTTTAACACATCGTTTGTCATATAGGACGGATGGCAAAATAGTGATTGAAGTGAGAGCCTAGGCATAAAAAAACTTGTAAACCTAAATATATATGAAAAGTAATTTTCCACAAATTTTACAGATTTATATTTGAGTCATTTTAGAGCTTCTAAAATAAGGTTAAATGATGTTGATGGGATATACTAAATACTGGGATTCACTTTCTCTGAATATAGGAAATTAGGAAATGTGCTTTGGTGCATTTAAACAAAACAGATTTATTAAACAGATATATTTATTAAAATAGGATTTTAGTCATCAAACATATTTAGAAACTGAAAGAATACAATTAAATTCAAGCTAAATATTGCAAAAATAAATTACAACCTACAAAATTTCAATTAAATTGTTCAATTTTTGCTTCTCTTGATTTTTTTTTTTTTCCTCTTTTTTTTAAATTGGTATTTAATATTTTTCTGTAAGATTTATTTGGGTGCACTAGTTTTTGGACTGTTCTCGTAAGTTATTTAAGCTCCAGATTTGGCTTCGGCACTGACTCATCTAATGTATGCTCAAATATAATATTGTATAGCTTCCTTTTTAAAATATATGAGTTTAAAAGATAGATTTGTAAGGGGTGTGCTTATATATGCTGAGCACTGTAAATACTGAGAAATGCACAAGTTAAACTTTTCAAATTAGAGAAGTCTGACCATAATCATTTTGTAGTGTTTGTCTTTTTAAAGTTTAACTAAATTAAGACATTGATGTTTGAGATATTGATTCTTCTTCTTATTCTTCTTATTATTATCAATATTATTATTCCTATTAATATAATATATAAATGAAAAAAGTGATAATAAAATGATTAAATTCATCCTTATTATTGCTGTTTAATATTGCAGAATATACACACACACTGTTTCTATACATTCATTCATTTTCTTGTCGGCTTAGTCCCTTTATTAATCCGGGGTCGCCACAGCAGAATGAACCTCTAACTTATCCAGCACATTTTTTTACGCAGCGGATGCCCACACATTCACACTACTATTCACACTACGAACAATTTGGCCTACCCAATTAGCCTACTGTACCGCATGTCTTTGGACTGTGGGGGAAACCGGAGCACCTGGAGGAAACCCACGCAAACGCAGGGAGAACATGCAAACTCCACACAGAAACGCCAACTGATCCAGCCGAGGCTCGATCCTGCAACCCAGCGACCTTCTTGCTGTGAAGCTACAGCACTACCTACTGCGCCACTGCGTCACCCTCCTGTTTATATACATTAAAAGCAAATTAAGTGCCTGCACTTTCAAATAGCTTGTCTATATATGAGTGAACCATTTTAAATGTCAAAATGGGTGATGTTTATCATCATTCAGCAATTAACATAAAAATGAAACAAAATTTACTCTTACTGTATTTTTATATACACAAATAAGTGATCATACTAAATTTTTGTGTAGTTTTTTAAACTTTATGACGAACTAATATTTTCAGTTTAAATATTGTTACACCGAATTTCATTGTAATGGGTGTGTATTGTATAAACCATTGTAAAATGTATGGCAGTCATTATTTATTTTCATTTTAATAAGGACACTTTTTAATCAACATGAAAAAAAGCTGTATTACACTTATGTTAATGCTTGAGAACCATTTATCTCTGACCTGTGTATATTTTTACCAGTGGTCTCAGACTTGGAACTCACGCAGTCGTGTGGTATTAGCATTTGGTGCAGTAACGCTATACTTTTTAATAAGGACTGTTAAGAAGCTCACAGATTTTGACAGCCATCTCGCAGTTTGAGTCAATTTCTGCAAACCAAACATGACAGATTCATCCACAAACAGCTACTGTTTCAGACTGGCATCCGTTGTCTGTCATAACAGACACCTAAAGTCTGATTTAATGGCATATGCCAGGAAGCAGCTGAGCGTGTTGATGTCTGCTGTGTATTTTGGCTTGATATTTCAGCAATAATGTTTATGGTTGTGTTTTTCCACCCGATAAGCACAAGCCCTATTAACAGGTCAATTAAGCAGGCACCTGTTTTCTCATCACAGCGCAGATACATTTCTCCCCCTGTGCATGGTTTTACAGCTTAAAGTTTTTTAGTTTCAAATATTTAGGATTTCAATTTTTATCAATTGTTGGTGTTGATTTTGAACAAGACATGTTATCTACAATTACTTTGGCTGCTTGTTACTTATTTAAAACAAGTTAAAACAACCCAATTCTTAAGGTTTTTAATGGGACAACTTAATTGTTTTATGTTCAGTCGACTTTAAATTTGTAACTTAATCAATTTGTGTTTTGACAACATGAAGAAATTGTGTGAGAGCCCGCTCAGCTAAACCAGGGTTTCCCAAACTTTTCAGCCCGTGACCCCCAAAATAACAATGTCAGTGACTCGCGACCACAATTTTTCTTGAAGGTGGTTATAAATATAGACTATATTTCAAATATAGGCCTATATAAACATGAACAATAGACAACACAAAAATGCAACAGTCGAATAAACATTTTTTTATAGTCATTTAATTCAATATTAACTTTAAACAGGCGAAGCAGTGGCGCAGTAGCGCTGTCGCCTCACAGCAAGAAGGTCGCTGGGTCGCTGGTTTGAGCCTCGGCTCAATTGGCGATTTTGTGTGGAGTTTGCATGTTCTCCGGGTGCTCCGGTTTCCCCCACACAGTCCAAAGACATGCGATACATGTGAATTGGCCAGGCTAAATTGTCTGTAGTGTGTGTGTGTGTGTCTGTGTGTGTCTGTGTGTGTCTGTGTGTGTCTGTGTGTCTGTGTGTGTGTCTGTGTCTGTTTCCAGAGATGGGTTGCGGCTGGACGGGCACCCAGTGCGTAAAAACTTGCTAGATAAGTTGGAGGTTCATTCCGCTGTGGCGACCCCAGATTAATAAAGGGACTAAGCTGACAAGTAAATAAATGAATGAATGAATTCACTTTAAACATCTTACTTTTAATGCCATAGAGGTTGTGAAAGTTTAACCTGGCCCTGTAAAATCTGCTGCAGCTGATGCTATTGCTATGTGGTTAAACTAAACACCAAAGGGGTCTCAATCTAATGAAAACCAATTTGAAAGTCTGATAGATTTTTTTTGTATGTTGTTGTTGTTATTTCTTTAGTGTAACTACTAACTATCTTTTGTGGGTTATGAATAAAATATGGTAATTCTAAAAGTTTATTAATTTATTTGAGTTTTGTAAATTTACCAAGCGACCCCTCGTCATTATACCGCAACCCCCACTTTGGTAATGATTGGGCTAGACTTCTCAACAGCTTCTTTCCACAAGCTGTTAGAGCCCTCAACTCCAGTCAATTTACCCCCTCTGAAATCTCATTCACCCCCTCCATTCCTGAGTATGTCCCATACAAGTGAGGGGGCTTAACACCCCTGTAAAAGAGACTCTCTTTGACTCTTGCACCTTGTTGCACATTTGCACTATAGACCATTTCAATGAAGTGATGTCATTGGCTCATGAATGTTTCCTGCTTGTTGTCAAACTATTTTGTAACTGTAACAAGAGACAATTTAATGGTATCTTAACGTTAAAACAGCTTTCATATTCTTATTTATCAATATGTGGACATTTTTGGATCCTTGGAAGCTATGAAAATTAAATATGTAAAACAGAAAATAGATTAGGACCCTCAAAATGGTCTATAGACACTTTCTTAATCACTCTGTCTCGTGGAAACACTGTGCATTTCAAATTGTGCTTCGTTCAGGTGAGTGGGCTTGACAAACCATCTGTGGAAACATTCTTTACTCTCATGCACCTGACACTTTATCTAAACTCCATCTTAGAGACTCGATAAGGAAAACAATGTTTACTATAAATGTACCACAGTCATGATGCACTACTTGCTTCAACCCTTAATTCTTTTGCAAAATAAGCCAACCTTAAATAGCTCTTTTGCACAATATTCAACCTTAAATACCTCTCTGGCACAATATCCTGCACAACACTGTTCAGTCTCGTGTAAAAGTATCTGTATAGCCTGTCTCATGTGTATAGTTATGCATCATATAGTATATGTTAGTTATGCATTGGTTTTTAAAATTGCTCTGCTGTCCAGTGTTGTGATTTGATTTTGTAATTATGATTCATTTATGTAGCGCCGACACAACATATAGTTCCTCTTTATGTCCAAACATGTAGCGGAATGACAAAGCTCCACTTGAAACAGCATTGTTTTACAGTGTGTTTGCTATAACCGATGCGTCTTTCTCCATTTTTGGTCAGGACTAATTTACCAGCATATTTGTCATCTGGAAAGTCACAACGTTTCTCTCCATAGGATGACAATTTCCACAAATGCGGAAATATTCATAACCTTACAATCCTCTCTCAGCGTTCAGCAGAGATCAGATTAGTGTCAGCCATCTGTCAACATGCTTTTGAAGAAAAAAAAAAAAGGATGAGCACTGATAAATCAAAGTTTATATATTGTAAAATCACACGCATAAAATAACGTATTAACTCCAAACAATATGGTGATGAATGCTTACTCTTTTAACAAAGAAATCATTTTGATTTGCATGTGCAGAATATGATGTACAATATAAAAGTCTAAATATAACGTCACTCTATTTAAACATGAATTTTAAGATGTTCCCTTCCTTAGACCTACTGTGTGATAGATGCAATCAAACCCAGGCATCGCTTGTTTAGTTTTTAGTGTTGTTTAATTTTAGTTGCTCTAAAATTGTTAATTATTGGATTTCAGTTTTTAAATTCATATCAGAAGTGGAGGAAAAAGTATACCCTGGGCCTACTTTAGCTAAATTTGGAGTCGGTGATGATGCAGAATTATCATATAATTAATGTACAGTAATCAGATTTATAACCCTAGCATGAAGATTAGTTTAAAAAAATTGGAATAGAAAAGATCCTCCACGTTGCTTCACGTTAATAAAAAAAATGTCATGTCCTGTCTGCAACTTGAGAAGCTAAGGCTTTCCCTAAAAAATAAAACAAAGAATTTCCATGTAATATGGAATACATTTGTTGAGTACTTTAACCAGTGAGCAGTGATTGAACCCTAGTAGAAATGCCTCAAATATCCCCCCTTATTTACTTTTTTTTTCTCCTCCTTTCTTTTTTTTTTGCCTCTTCCTTCCACTTTTATAATTTTGTTTTTGTTCTCTTATGCATATAATAGTAACATGTTGTTAACTGTTTAAAAGCGAAAAAAAGTACACATGTAAGTTATCATTAGTACTGATGTAAAAAATACAATAAAGAGATTGTAAAAAAAACAAACATTAATTATATGTGGGTTAGTAAATTTAACAGCTGTTAAAATACACTCACCAGCCACTTTATTAGGTACACCTGTCCAACTGCTCGTTAAAAAAATTCTAATCAGCCAATCACATGGCAGGAACTCAATGCATGCTAAGGAAACAAGGTTACAATTCTCACCGGCTCACTAAAATTCGACAATAGAACATTGGAAAAACGTTGTCTGGTGTGATGAGTCTCGGTTTCTTATGTGACAATCAGATGGTGGGGTCAGAATCTGGCATCAACAGCATTAAGCATAGATCCATTCTGCCTTGTATCAACGGTTCAGGCTGGTGGTGGTGGTGGTGGTGTAATGGTGTTGGAGATATTTTCTTGGCACGCTTTGGGCCCATTTGTACCCACTGAGCATTGTGTTAAAACCACAGCCTACCTGAGTATTGATGCTGACCATGTCCATATCTTTATGACCAGTGTACCCATCTTCTGATGGCTACTTCCAGCAGAATAACGAACCATGTCATAAATGCGGATCCTCTCAGAAGGTTTCTTGAACATGACCGTGAGTTCACTGTATTCAAACTGCCTCCACAGTCACCAGACCCTCAATCCAATAGAGCATCTTTGGGATGTGGTGGAATGGGAGATACGCTTCATGGATGTGCAGCCAACAATCTGCATCAACTGTGTGACGCTATCATGTCAAAATCTAATATGAGGAATTTTCCATTACCCTGTTGAATCTATGCCACAAAGGATTAAGGCAGTTCTGAAGGCAAAAGAGGGTCCAGCCTACTAAGGAGTACCTAATAAAGTGGCCGGTGAGTTCATATGTTGAATGAAGACATTATGAAGTGCTGCCATCTGCTGGCGAGCTGAAATATTGAAAATCATTTCATAATAATCTCTTCTTCATGCATCTCTAAAAAATGTGGGAAGACACTTGTGAATGTAGCATGTGAAGAGGTGGAATGCCATTTTTACATTTGATTTCTCAGTTCCAGATTTAGCTGGTTTGCTGTCCCCATTCCTTCTTTCTTAACTCCACTCGTCTTATTTTCCCACTTACTGTCTTGGGCAGCTGATCCACAAACTCAATCTGAAAAAAAGTAAACAAAATGATGAAACAAAAGAGAATCAGAAAGATCATGATCGTACAAATCATGATTAACAATATAAAGCTTTAAATCAGTGGTGCTCAAGCTGGTCCGTATAAAGGGCCAAAAACCAAATATCATTGATAGCTGTGGGCCAAAGGTAAATATACCAAACTATTTTACATTAAAATTGCTATGGGTAATTTCCAAGTTCGCTTAATAATATTTAAAAATAAATAAAAAACTTTACTTTGAGTGATATTAACTAATGCAATATAACTTTTTAAATTACGACCCACTGCAATTAAAACAATTAAACTTATAACATAGTAGAGTTCAATGCTGAATACACTAGTCAAGCAGAATCTTCCTTTGCCTTGATTCAAACCATCGTATGTACATTTAAACTAAATCTGATTAATTTACACAATTTACATTGAAACATTAAATTTTAGATGGTTTATTTGTAGCTTAACAATTTAAAAAAACAAATAGAAGATTACATTAAATGTGAAAGAACAATCTCTAAACCATTTTCAGATGGCATGGGGGGCCAAATCAAAGGTTACTACGGGCTGACTTTGGCCTGTGGGCCCTAGTTTGGGCATCTCTGCTTTAAATAAAGTAAACAAATGGCTCCAACAGAATCCCTTCAACCTAATCAAATTGAAAGTAATAAGTGGGTAATCTACCTTGCGTGGATATTTGTAAGGAGCCGTGATGCTCTTTACATGTGTTTGCAGTTCCTTGATCAGTTCCTTATGGGCTCTTGATTTAAAATCTGCTGTCAGCACAACAAAAGCCTTCACCACCTAAAACATCAAGCAAACTCTTCACAAAAACACTCACATTTACACAATATACAAATGTAATGATGACTTCAGTTTTACTTCTAGTGAATAATAAATATGAGATATTGTCTTATCTTGTGAGCTCAAAAGTCAGTCTGTGAGTGCCTTACACACACACACACACACACACACACACACACACACACACACACACACACACATAATATTAAACAGTTTTTGTCCACTGTTATGACACACAGCTGCATTTTCATTAAAAGAGATTGTGGATTTGAAGCTTAATGAATCTTCAATTTAGCCTTTGCCTCATCACTGTTAAATTTATCAATCATTTTCCCGGTATTTTGCATCAAGAGACACTTAACACTGCTTGTTCAAAATAAACTGAGAAAGCAAGTACTGGAGATGTGTTGCTTATTCCTTTTGTACCTGTACCAATTGCAGTAATATTATTGACCAATATGAAAATGTTCATCTGATTTCTGTACAATGCATTTTGTAAAGTAAGTCTTTTAGAAGATTTATTATATAGAAGACTTGCTTTATTTACCAAATAAAGTGAATCTAATTGGATTTGCATTTTAAACATTAAAAAAGTAAAAAAATAAATAAAATAAAAAGTTTTATTTTATTATTTTACATATTAAGGTTTTAGTTATGATACTCCTACAATAATTTTGGTAAGAGTTTTACCAAAATTCTCTCCAGAAATGGAAAAAAAAAAAGTCTGCGGATTCCGTCTGGCCCTACCCATCACAGAGATACGTACTTAACCGTGACTCCAGTGTAGTGTCACTCCTAGTAAATACAGAATCTGCCTACTTAGACCCTGTTCTCACTTGTTATTAACCGCCTCTTTTTGACTAACTCTGAAAGTGCATGAGGTCAAAATGTTTTAAACCCTTCTATTATGCTTCTATTTTTTGTCCACTTATGATAGGATTAAAGGAAATGCATCTTTGTAGGAGGTGTATAAACAGGGTGCTCTGACAATAATGGTGCTGCTGGCTTCCAAGTACTTATTTTTCACCCAGTTTTAAGGTCATACTTGTATCCTTCATAAAGAAGGCAATCCCAGAATGCACAACGTTACCTCTCCTCGAACAGGATCAGGGCTGCTGACTACGGCTGATTCAGCTACAGCTGGATGCTCTATCAGGGCATTTTCCACCTCAAATGGACCAATACGGTACCTAAAAACACACACACACACAGACATATTATACAAATGTTCAAAAGCATATTTTTTCCTTGAATTTTTCCCATTATGATATTTAAAAAGCCTTTGTTGGAACATTATAAGAACTTAGAACAAACTTAAATTTGTATGAAAGAAATTTTTGAGAATAGGACAAATAACAGAAAAGGTAAAACAAAAGTCTGTTTACCTAATGATTTATATTGAATTATTTAAAGGGACAGAACAAAATTGCAAAACATATCCAGTAATTAAGCATTTATGAGTGTAGGGCAGGAGTGTTCAACTCTGTTTCTGGAGATCTACCCTCCTACAGAATTCAGCTCTAACCCTGATCAAACACACATGAGCCAATTAATTAGAGCATGAACAGCACTTGATAATTACAGGCAGGTGTGTTTGTTATGGGTTACAACTAAAATCTGCAAGAAAGTAGATCTCCAGGAACAAGGTTGAGTACCTCTGGTGTAGGAAGACCAAATTATATATGGAGTGCTCTAAAGATATCTTTTGGTGCATTTGCCCACCGTAACTCTGATTGGAGAGAAAAAAAACTGTACTTTCTAGTCAAACCATTCTTCTGCAATCTTACACCAAAAACTGAAATAAGGGCAGTGTTAATAGCCTAAAATGTGGGAGAGCGTTGATATTGTGTGATTATAGTGTATTGCAATATGGAGCAATTAAATGTTGATGTTAAATCAAAAGTAATTCTCACATGAAAATGAGATGATTTAATTTACAATAATTCTCTATGGTTACAACGGAATTAATAACAAATAACTATAAAATGATAATATGAAATGATGATAAAACATATGATATAAATTGCACCCAGCTTAAATGTAGAAAAATAAAGTTACCAGAGGTATGAGACACAGGGAGGGAGAGAGACAGAGAGGAGGCCCAGAAGTTAGCCTGATTGCAGTAGAGTCAGAGAAGATAGACCTCAGAGGAGCAGAGCAGGAAAGCGCAGAGATGGAGAAAAAGCCAGAGCAGTTTACCACCTAATTTGTCTCTTTCTTGACCAAATGTTACCAAAGCTTAAATACTGAGACATTCAAACTGACTAAATAACATGTGACCACATTGTAAAACCCCCAAAGTCCACACACCAGGACCTGATCTAATCAGTATCTGCCTTTTGGAATTTGTGTGAGCCTTCTTTTATTAAAAAGACCATATAAACATATGCATAAGATAATTTAGACTCTTACAAACAGGATTATTAAAAAAATATATTATCGGTTAAAAAACTGAGCTCACCACAGATTTTTTTTTAATGTCTAGCCTTTAAAATCCCTAAAGTTTCATATTAATAAAATTTTTACTTCTAGAAACACTTGTTAGACTATTATATGATATATATTTATTTAAAATTTGACATCATCATGATCAAAGCCGAATTCTGTACCCTGCAGACAAGATGACGTCATCAGATCTGCCGATGAACCACAAATATCCTTCATCGTCCATCATTCCCCGGTCACCTGTCAGGTAGAAATCGCCACGGAAACATTCTGCTGTGCGCACTGGCTCCCCCTTTAGGATGAATTTAGATTCACATTCAAATAATTTAGTTGTTAACTTTGCATTTCTTTACAAAACTAAACTAAAGGTTGTTGCACACCGGATGCCTGCATTTTAGAATTCTAAACACAGATTTCGATCAGTGTACGCACAATGGTGCTGCAAGTTGGCGGCTGTCCACGGCGCCCAGCTACGACTCTGGATACTGTTTATATTTCTGCCGCGCCATCTGAAGGGTTTCATATTAAATGCCATTCGAATGTGCACAACTGGTGTGCGATACTTCCAACTGTCATGTGCACGACGCAACCGGTGTGCGACCCCCTTAAGAGATGCAAATATAAACAAGCTCAAAGTGATCTTAAATCCAAGCTCTTTATTGTGGAAATAATCCACAAACCAAAATATAGCATCCTGCACCTGTCTACTATATTACCTTGACAAACCTGATTGATTCAAATCAACGTTAACCGGATGTTGCGGTTAACGTTGATGTACTTTTAACTGAAATGGAATATTGTGTAGGGGACGGGGCTTTCTTTTTGAACGTCATTACTTTATAGCACCTAACATTTAAGAGTGGCGTGGTTAAGAATATCGTGGCACAGAAAGGATAAATGCTCAGACTTTGATTGAAGATTACCAAAACAAATTTTTTTTTTCTGCCATGTCACCCTGCAGCCCAAGACCGGTTACTCACTGAAGCTAAGCAGGGCTGAGCCTGGTCAGTACCTTGATAGGAGACCACTAGGGAACACTAGGTTGCTGTTGGAAGTGGTGTTAGTGAGGACAGCAGGGGGTGCTCAACCTGTGGTCTGTGTGAGTCCAAATGCCCCAGTAAGAGTGAAGAGGACACTACACTGTCAGTGGGCGCCGTCTTTCGGATGAGACGTTAAACCGAGGTCCTGACTCTCTGTGGTCATTAAAAATCCCATGGCACTTCTCGTGAAAGAGCAGGGGTGTAACCCCGGTGTCCTGGCCAAAGTCCCTCTACCGGCCCTTACGATCATGGCCTCCCAATCATCCCCTTCCACCGAATTGGCTCAATCACTGTCTCTCCACTCCACCAATAGCTGGTGTGTGGGGAGCGCACTGGCGCCGTTGTCCTGTGGCAGCCGTCACATCATCCAAGTGGATGCTGCACACTGGTGGTGGTGTGGAGAGACCCCCTCATGATTGTAAAGCGCTTTGGGTGTGTGACCATACACAATAAATGCGCTATATGAATACATTACATTACATTACATTTCTCCCCAGTAGATTAACTGCACTTATTCACCTAAAGTATAACCAAGTGCTCTAGCAGAATAAACCTTATAAATTATGATTTCACATGGACTTAATTTACATCTTAAGTGGATATGGCAATATGCTTTGAAAACAGCTTTCCAAACCAACACGCTTATTGAAGGTGGGATTCCTTAACAGTTGTCGATTATTAGTTTTGTGTTGTGAATTTGAAGAAGAGACAAAACCAGGAAGATTTTTGTATATCTTGAAAGCAGAATCCTTTAATAAGGACTGGCTGTGGCGTTCATCGAAAATGTTTTCGACTACTGCAGCTGGCTCGCAGTTTAATACACAATTGAGTGGGCAGTGCTTATTAGTTGAAACAGAAACTGCCATTACAGTTTAGTCTTGTTTTCTGGGCCTTGCCTGAAAGTATCACCCGGCCAATTGTTAGACATAAGACACTGAAATTGACAATACGCATTACAATGGAGACATGATGCTGTATTTCACACATAGGAAGTCAGACCTGATGTGCCTAGAACTTGTAATTTGCATTAATTTGAATAAGTGATACTGTCAGAACCATCTTGCGGTGTAAAACAATTTATATATTTTAAGAAATGTAGAATCTTTCAGTAGTAATATAGTAAAGAAGACAGATACAGATAGTGAAGAAGCATTAAATGTACCGTATACTCTGTAAAAAGAGAGAAGGGTCTCTCTGGTTTCACTCGGATGCCGAGGTCTCCCTCTTGTCCTTTTGGCACAACAGAGCCATTTTCATCCACCACCTTAAACCAGAACAGTCCAGAATTACTATTAGCAGCCCAACTTCAAAAAACTTGTAACTTAAATTGTAAGGCAACTTTTAGCACAGCTTTTTTTTTACTTGACTTGATTTAAGTTGAATCAACTCAAATTATAAGACAACTTGAACACATCTTTACGTTACAAGCAGTCAATGATTTTTTTTATTATGTCTAGCTTAAACTTTGGACCTGCACGTCATATCCTGGTGATGCTTTTCCAAAAGATCCTGGTTTGATCTTCATGCCTTTGAATGTGCCCGCTATTAAAACCTGAGAGATAAATAAAATAATTACTTTGATTTTGAGTTATTGTACAATAAATAAATAAAAAAAAATAATATATATATATATATATATATATATATATATATATATATATATATATATATATATATATATATATGTATATAAAATGCTAATTTAAAACCACTTTTTACCCATGCCTATATTCATGGCACACAAACCAGATTGAACATAATAGTTTGAGACTGTTTAAATGCTTTATTTACAGTCTCAGTCTGTCCGTATCCCTCGTAGATGTCCAGTCCAGTGAGCTCTTTCCATTTGCACATGACCTCAGGGTTAATGGGCTCTCCGGCACACAGACAGTGTTCAAGAGCCTGGAATTTATACCTGGTAAAAATCACAAAAATGAGGATTAGATTAAGATAAGCTGGGCTGATCCAGTTCAGGATGTGCAAGCATGTGATTACAAATTCTGTTCAAAAATTGCACCTTCATAAAACAGAGAAATAATAAAATTGATCTATTATTCTTCTATACCCTATGATGACGCTTAGCATAAATGATGGCAGTAGCTTTGCATTTGGCTGATTGTCACAGATTGTACTTTCAGGTATTTAGGATACAATGAACCTGCATTTTTTTTTAACCATTTAAAGTCTGCATGAACCGGAAGCTGTGACCGTCAGAAATGCCAACTGGCTCAGCCGGGACTTGAACCAGCGACCTTCTTGCTGTGAGGTGACAGTGCTAACCACTGAGACACAGTGCTGCCCAAAAGTAAAAGTTTGAAGGCATTAACAAACTACTTATAGCATATCACGAATAGCCTTAAAATCTTAATTATTTCTGCAGCAATATATGGATGCGGTAATGTCTGTGGAAAATCAAAATTTACAATGGCTATTTTGCTAGCGCATATTGTTATCCTTCAGGTGGACAATTCATCTGTGCAAGTTAATCAAATAAAACGATGTTTGTTTTGATAATCTTCAGTCAAAGAGGGTGCAATGATGCACCGCCTCCTACTCGTATTCCGTTTCAGTTGGAAGTACATCAACATACTGACATAAAAATCTCAGCAACTTTCGGTTCATTTGGACTTTAAATATTACTATGAAAATATCTATAATATTATTATACAATATAATATATAATATAATATTTATTAACATTTTAAGGGCATTAATCCAAAATTGAAAGTGCCACATATAACCTTAAATGCATTACGCTATAGGAAAAAGGCGGGACAATAGGTAGTAAATTTAGAGTTAATTTGAGTTAATGTGAATTTTAGTCGCATCACATTAGAGACAGTCCATACTTAGACAAGTCATCCTGTACAAGCATTCGATAGGCGGTCGGTGCTGTGCAGAAGGTGGTGATGGGATAGTGGCTCAGAGTCTGTAAGGAGAAAAAGCATGAGTGGCAGCAGAAAGCTTTTGTTTTAGTGAATGCTATAAAACTATAATGCATACACTACTGTTCAAAAGTTTAGGCTCAGTATGATTTGTTTTTTTTAGTTTTTTATTGAAAATGAATGCTTTTTTTCTGAAAGGATGTAATAAACTGATCAAAAGTAACACATTCATTAGGTCACAAAGTATTTCAATTTCCATTTAATGTTTTTCCTTTTTTAATGCCGTCTTTATTAATTTTTAGGAACTTTAACACGTAGTAAACAAAACAAATATACAAAACAAAAATAAATAAATAAATAAATAAAATGATAAAAAATACAAGTATACAGATAAATAAATGCATGTGTATATACACATCCGATATAAAGGTATCAAAACTAATGGCAGGTTATAACAACATACAAGTTATATGGACAGAAGGTTCGTATCAGCTTGCTTCAGAAATACTACAAAAGGATTCCATATTTTAAAACACTTTTCAAGGTTTTCTCTTAACGGTATACATTAATTTTGGCTTTACATTATTTTACATTTTAAAAGCCTGATTTTCACATATGTAAAGCAGCACAGTAGTTTTTAATGCTGATAATGCAAACTATTGAGCAGCAAATCACAACAAATCAAAAGATTTCTGAATGATCGATACACTGAAGACTGGTGAAACGATGCTGAAATTTTTGCATTGTCATCACAGGAATAAAATTAAAATTTCAAATGTATACAAATAGCAAACTATGTTTAAATTGTAACAATATGAAGCAATAATTAAATAAATGAAGCATTGGTCATATGAGACTCTCTCAAAAATATTTTAGAAATATTACCAACCCAGACTTTAAAACAATACTGTACATAAAGCAGGCCGTTACATATATTTTTATTTGTAAAAGTCAGTGATTAAGCAAAGCACTGCTGTCAAGAATTGACGTGTTTATTTCAGTACCTTAAGAACTGTGTTTGTGTCAAAGCGTGGCATGTGGTGAACAAACACACAAGCTCCCTGAATCCACGGAGCAAACACACTGCTCCACGCTGATTTCGCCCAGCCCGTGTCAGAGGTGTTCCAGAATACATCCTGCTCAGTCAGATCCAGCCAGTACCTGAACAATTCACACAGATCAAATGCATACATTACATGGTACCATTATAAGTTTGGGCTCTGAAGATTTGGTAGGATAATGTCTTTGGAAGAAATTGTTTGTGCTTTTCAGAGCTGCGTTTTAAAAAAATTTAAAATACAATATTGCCATCGCTGGAACAAATGACATTTTAAACAAAGTTTAATTTTTACACAGCAAAAAATGCAGTCCAAATGTGAAAATTCTCATTTCAAGAACTATTTTCTAGACAAGCAAAACATATCATCTTGTTTTCAGAAATAATATGTCAATATTAAGTGAGTTTTTCATTAAAGGGGTGGTCCAGAATGTCATTTTAAGGCTTGGTTGTTTTAATAAGATGCAAAGCAATATGTGCTCATGTTTCACTTGAAGGAAATCACATAATTTTTTCATAAATCTCACTTTGATTATATGCAGCTACTCAGCTAACATGTAAACATCTGACATATTTCCTAGTTCCTCTGAAAGGCTTGCCTAAAGTGACTCTGATTGGTCATGTGTCATAATGTGCAGCGATTCGTGGATCGGCTCCATGTCACGCCTGTACAAGCATGCGCTTTTTGTGTAAACAGTAAGTCAACCTCATGCCCGCTCTCTAAAATAAAATCTAAAAAGTGTCTGTAGCGTGTGAAAATGGGGTGCAGCTCCTTTAAGAGAGGTCGCCATTGTGTATATGTTTGTGTCTATATATGTGTGTGTGTGAACTGTCTTTAGACGGGTATAACATGAGAAGTGCATGTGCGCGGGACTAATGTTTATTTTTCTTTTTCTTTGATGCTCTGATTGTTATTTTCTGTAATATATCGTGACACTGTTGACAGAAGAATAGAGTTTAAGATGTGGGATGCGACCTGTGTGAGCCTTGATTTATTTTTCTGCTGCTACACGAGTTAGCAAGCTCTCCTGTATGTTTTTTTTTAGCTCAACGTGTTACACGACGTCTTTCACATGGAATATGCATGTGTAAGTAGCACGAGTCATTCACATATCGTTTGCGAGTTCATTATCTGAGATGTAGAATGTACAGAAAAGCTGCGTATAAAGAAACATGCACGCGCTGGTAAAGTGTGTGTGTGTGTTTACAGCAGTTTGACTGATAAATATGAATTTGTAGCTAAATCGTTAGCGGTGCCAACAGCATTTTCCATTGTTTACATCTTTGCTACAACACACCGTTAAGGCTAGACACTGTCATAATCAATTTTAACAAATAAAAACACTTACAGGTGTTGAAGTTTTGTTCTTAAACAGCAAACTCAGTGTCACACCCCTGCTCCGATGGTACACTCCAATCTCCTCATTCAACCTCTGGCCAATCAGGACTGCCTCAAGGCCTTTATTAACTGCACCTGTGCCCACAGTTTGTTACTTTCTGGCAGCACATGGCTGAACTGCAGAGGACTGAATTTGATCTCCCTTGTTTTCCTGTGTGTGCGTATTTGACCATGTAAGTGGCTTTTGTATGATTTAAGTTGACTTAAGTGCTCATGTTTCATATTTGCCATATATTTGTTTAGTTATGTACTTTGTTTGTTGGTAAACTGAAGCATTTGTATTTGTTATTTCCTTACTGATTACTGACACATTGTATTTCTGTTGTTTCCTTGCGCACACACACACACACACACACACACACACACACACACACACACACACACACACACACACACCTTTCATCCTAAGTACAAATCCTTGTCATTGTTAATAAACACAACTAAATGGAGTGCCTAGACTGGACCTCTGTTCTTACCGACAGCACCACTGGCTTCAAGCTAGCTACCTAAACAAGTTACCTCCTAACCTCCTTTTCAACAGGTTGTGGCTCAGAGTTCACAGCTTCTGCTTGTTGGAGCTGCTCCATCTTTGAGGAGATTATAACCAAATCCAGCACTGAACTGGGAGAGATTCTGGAGCTGTTTTGTCAAATCATGATTGCTATGCATTTCATAATTCTCAGGAACATAATTAATATTGAACTGTAAGCACTTCTGTCTTTGTGTTATGTTTTTTGGAAGCCCAAATACAGAAACAGAAGAAGCTCTGTGGAAATAGCAGCGTTTGGACGGCATTTTAGCTCCCTCTGCTGTAACATTACAGCGCCTCTGGCCACCACCCTTAGCTGCGCAGTGGTAAGCGCAGCTGAGGGCAGCGGTAAAAGTCCGTTTGTGATCTCACAGGCCCGGAAGTATTTTTTTGTAGTCGCTAAAATTTGTTCATTGTGGGCTTTGCTAAGCGAACTCTGTATAAACCAAGCTCTCCCTTTGCATTGAACTTTGAGCGTTTTACATTCAGAGAAGCTACATTACACATCAACTAAAGTTTAAATTATAATTTCGAAGTGGACCACCCCTTTAAAACAAGCTAAATTATCTGCCAATATGCAAGCAAATTAATGTTTTAAGGAAAAACTAACTTAATATTGCATTATTTCTAAAAATGCTTCTTGATATGAGATTTTTTAGATGTTGGGCTAGAAACAAGACAAAAAAAGAAAAAGAAAAGAAAAGCATTTTTTGCAGTCTATTGTCTGTCACATAATCCTTCTGAAATCATTCAAATATTATGATTAATGATAAATGATATAATGATAAATAGCATTGAACATTACGTAAATGATTCAAGGGGACCCAAAAATGTGACAGATCTGGCAGAGATTTGTTTGTGCCGTGACTATTGCTCAGTGAAGTTGTAGGTTGTAGGTGATCTTTGAAAGGCGAGTCTTTTTTTTTTTTGGTTTATTTTAACATCCTGATTACACAATTTCCTTGCCTTTTGTATTTATTTATTAGCCTAAATAAGCATAATCTAAATAGCTGGGTCCTTCACATTTTAGGGTCCCCTTGAAACATTTCCGTTGTGTTCTCTGCTATTTGCATGTGTTGTGAGAAAATAAAGCACTGTTATGTGTTTGCGTTAAGGATTTGCAACGCATATGCTGTCAGACCATTGAGGATCTTTTGCTAATTTTATTAATGTGTTTTCTTCAATTGCAGCACGTTAAGCTCGCTTTGCCAACATAGAAATCATATTAAAACTTTATTTTGTCACATTATAAATGCATTTTTCACATTGGATCAGTTTAATGTGCCCGTTACTGAATAAATAATACATTTATTGAAATATCTGACCCCAGTCTTTGAACTGTAGAATACATTATTATGTTTATCAAACTTGAAGGCATCTTCAGCTGTATATATTTACAACCATAAAAATGATACTTGTCTATGATGGCACAAACCTGCCGTTCACGGTGAGCCCCAAACCGTAACTACAGTGGCTGTGTTGGGTCATTTTTGGGGAGCCCGTTGTGCCACTGGTGAAGAAGATGGTCATGGGCTCCTCACTGCTGGTGTCCACACAAACATGGTCATCTGATACTCTTCTGCAACACAAACATAACATCTTAATTTACTCACTAAAGCTTTATATATATTAAAAAATAATTCTGTTATTGTTTACTTGCTGAAAAGTTGTTCAAAATCTTTATTTCTAAAACACAGATTTTAAGAAAGTTGGTGGCAATAGTATAGAAGTTTTGGAGACCAGCAACTCTTGGTTACCTGCTGCAGCTATGGTCTTAGTACACAATGTACCTGTAGCAAAGTCAAACCTTAAATTATCACAACTTTATTTTATTTTTATTTTTTTGGAGAAAAATACTAATGATCTAATCTGATTCAAAGATTTATGCTAAGTAAAGCTAAAAGTGCAAAAAAGGGTAAAAGAAAAAATAAACTCAACTCTAGGGGAGTTGTAAAATTTGCATATTTGCAAAAAAAGTGTCCCTTTACACCTCAGGTTGTTTCTCAAGAATTCTCTGCTGAACACAAATTGAGATATTTACATTTATATTACATTTAGATCTGTAAATATCTCTTAATTTGGGTTCAGCAGAGAATCTCTTGAGAAACAACTTGGTGTAAAGGGACACTGCTTTTTTTTTCAAAAATGCAAATTTTACAACTCCCCTAGAGTTTATTTTTATTTTTTTAACCTTTTTTTGCACTTTTAGCTTAGCATAAATCATTGAATCAGATTAGACCTTTAGCATTTCATTCAAATAAAAAGTTGTGATAATTTTCCTATTTAAGGTTTGACTCTGCTGCAGGTACATTGTGTACTAAGACTATAGCTGCAGCAGGTGCAATGATCTTATGCAGCGTTGCTACCTACTTATCTCGTTGGACTATTTTCTGGTGCTGCGTAGTATCATTGTGCCTGCTGCAGCCATGGTGCACCAGCAAAGTTCCTTAATTATTATGCCAGAAAGATAGGTTAGTTCCAAACCATATGGCCCTACAAAATAGCAACTTTTTATCTGCCTTGATACACAATGTACCTACAGAAGAGTGAAGCTTTAAATGGGAAAATTATCATTTTATTTTATTTTTTTGATGGATATGCTAATGGGCTATTCCAATTCAATTATTTATGCTAAGCTAAGATAAAATTGCTCCCACAAGACCCCCCCCAGAGATTGGCTGAATGAATTAAAAAATGGTAAAACTGAAATATCTGTAAATGTAGGGGAGCTGTAAAATTAGTCAATTTCCTTTATGTATCCTTTGTATTCCTTTAATTATCTATTTAGGTGAACAGTCACTTTAAATATTTTTTTATTATTATAATTTTTTAAGTGCCCCCTGTACATGCCATTCCCTCCCTTGTTCTCCACTCACCCCATGAGCTCTGTCAGGTTGCCCCAGCCGTCCATGGGCTTGTGGGACAGCAGCAGCTTGGTGGAAATGGAAGGGCAGTCTAAGGCTACAGTGTCCAACAGTGGAGCCAGAGTTTCATCTGTGATCACACACTTGGCCCCAGACGTTATCAGTCTGTGACGCATATCTCGAGCTGTGAGCTGAGAGGTGCCAGGAATGAGAACTGTACCTGTCCCAGGATACGGGAAGAGGTTCACATAAAATTCTAACAGAATTCTCACGGCCTACTGCATACAGTACATTACAGTATTGATATGACTCTAATTTAGCAGTTATTTATTTTTAGTTTTTAAAAGAACAGATGTCATTTTGCCCACTAGAGGATGCACATTCACAACAAACAAGTGTATTTTGATGATACCAGGGGTCCATTCTTCGTACCTCGCTTAAATGATCTAAGATTATTTGGCAGATCCCCGATCTTTTAATCTTGATAACTGATCTCTGGCTAATTTGGTTCTTCAAACAAGTTCGCGAATCAGATTAGAATGTCTGGATAAACTGATCTGAGATCGCTGCGTGTGTTGTGAAGGATAGATCTATCGATCCTCGAAATCCTAATCAGCAATGCAGCGATTGGCTGACGGCACAGCAGCGTAATGACATCATCTGCTTAATATTCAATTATCCATGTGAGCAAAATTACATCAAATTAGCAGTAAACGGCTTGTTAAATATGACACGCAATAACATTACACATTTGCTGTGAGCTGCAGGCTTTACACTTTCATGTGTCAAGAGTATTCATCATGTATTTCAATGCAAATCAATGTATTTAGTTCTACATTTAGAAAATATTTTCTTTATTATAGTAGCCATTTTTAATCGGTGTAAAGAATAACTGGTTGTTTACAAAAGCGTTTACATATTGGTAAAGGCGTCTGCAACTTTTGTGAAGCATCAAATCACTGGCATATTAACTATCAAAACATGTTTATGAGTGCACAAATGTATTATTGCTTTAAAAAAAGTCACATATTGTGCATTTCTATTATACACAATTTGTACTAAAGCGATCTAAAAAGTTCATATCAATAAGTTTTCTCTTTGCACCACCAGGTGGCAGTCTTAGTACTTTTATTTCGAGGGTGCAGATTGCATACGTTTTATTAATATGTATAACTTTATTTATTTTATTAATGACTATAACTTTATATATATATAGTTAAAAAATATGTACCATTTTACCAAGTGTATAACTACTACTGTAAGAAAATATCAGAATTCGGAACATACTTTCTGTATTATCTTTGCTTGAACGAAGCTGATCTAATCCTGTTTATATGAATTGAACCTGCTCCCGATCAGGTTTGACCTAGCAGAACTGTTGCTATGACAACAACTCTCAGATCAGCTTTGAAGAACGAAACGATCCTGGATCGTGTCAAATCGTCAATATCCAAATCCAGCTAATTGAGTAATCCACGTACGAAGAACAGACCCCAGGACTGTGGAATCATGGACATTTAGTCTTTATTACATCCAACGGGACTCATGTAGTAATCATTTGCATGGATGAGCTAAAGTACTCAACTCATCATAATAAAATGAAGGCTAATACACTCACCGGCCACTTTATTAGGTACACCTTACTAATACCGGGTTGGACTCCCTTTTGTCTTCAGAACTGCCTTTATCCTTGTGGCATTGATTCAACAAGTTACTAGAAATATTCCTTAGAGATGTTAGTCCATATTGACATGATAGCATCACACAGTTGCAGCAGATTTGTTGGCTGCACATCTATGATGTGAGGTGCTCTTATGAATTGCGATCTGGTGACTGTGGAGGCCATTTGAGTACAGTGAATTCATTGTCATGTTCAAGAAACCTTCTGAGAGGATCCGTGCTTTATGACAGATGCATCATCCTGCTTGAAGTAGCTGTCAGAAGATGAGTACACAGTGATCATAAAGAGATGGGCATGGTCAGCAACAATGCCCAGGTAGGCTGTGGTGTTGGCACGATGCTTAATTGCTCTTAATGGACCCAAAGTGTGCCAAAAAAATATCCCCCACACCATTGCACCAACTTAAACCGCTGATAGAAGGCAGAATGGATCCATGTTTTCATGTTGTTGATGCCAAATTCTGACTCTACCATCCGAATGTGGCAGCAGAAATTGAGACTCATTAGACCAGACAACGTTTCTCCAATCTTCTATTATCCAGTTTTGGTGAGCCTGTGTGAATTGCAGCCTCAGTTTCCTGTTCTTAGCTGACAGGAGTGGCACTCGGTTTGGTCTTCTACTGCTGTAGCCCATCTGCCTCAAGATTCAACGTGTTTTGCGTTCAGAGATGCTCTTCTGCATACCTTGGCTGTAATGAGTGCTTATTTGAGTTACTGTTGCCTTTCTATCAGCTCAAACCAGTTTGGCCATTCTCCTCTGGCCTCAACAAGGTATTTGCACCCACAGAACTGCCGCTCACTGGATATTTTTTCTTTTTCAGACCATTCTCTGTAAATGTTAGAGATGGTGGTGTGTGAAAATCCCAGCAGATCAGCAGTATCTGAAATACTCCGTTCAGCCCATCTGACACCAACAACCATGTCACGTTCAGTCACCTAAATCACCATTAGGTGAACTGCAGCAGATCATCTTGACCTCGTCTACATACCTATAGTTGCATTGAGTTGCTGCCATGTGATTGGCTGATTAGAAATTTGCCTTAACAAGCAGTTGGTCAGGTTTACCTAATAAAATGGCCAGTGAGTGTATAAGTAAATAAGTCAGCATACCAGTGGTTTTTGGAGACTTTAATAAAAATTCTTACATAGTGTTCCTTTAATATTATGTTTATAACTTAGTCAAAAATGTGGAATTGTACATTGTGCATTTACAAGACTAAAATCAGAAATCTTCTGTGCATTTTGTCCATTCATTTAAATAAGTTCATGGTGAGGGCCAGAAAATGCTAACTTTTGAAACTCATTTCTTTACACTGCCAGTGACATTGCCAGCTACTGGTCTGACATATATAATACACCATGATTAGTGGTTGTTGTATTTTGACAACACTGTTGCCTACCTGTAAGACTATTCAAAACAGCAAAGATTTTTTGTACATTATTGTACAAAGTATACTATGTTATGTAAACATCCTAAATATCTTCTATCACCAATTGCTCCAAACTACCATTGTCCCCCAGCAGAGTGAGTTATGATGAAACAATAGTAGATTAATCTTTAACCTCAACTAAAGGAAAACAGAACAAGGGGGAAGGAGTCTTAGAAACCAAATGCTGGTGAAGGGAAATAACATGCAGAGGGATCAGGACTGCTAGCCTGCATGTACCTGTTCTTATACATGCCACATTAACCAGCCACCACTCAGGGACTCTGGGTAAGATGAGGAACACACGATCCCCTCTTTCCAAACTGCACACCTGACGCAGGACGTTTGCAAGTTTTCTAGAGTGGAAGCCCAACTCCTCAAAACTCCACCTGACCTCTGTCCCGTGATCATTTACCCACCACAGAGCAGGAAGAGACGATCTCTGTCCACTCTAGAATATATACATCAAATAAAAATAACTGTGGCATTAAAATATATATTTTAATACTTTGTAATGTATATGTAACAAAATACCATTGCATAATGATACATGATCAATAGATCAGGGTTATTCCATATAAACAATTCCGGTTGTTTTTAGTTTAGAAATGCCCACTTTTATTCTGTAGAGACTCATACGGTGCTCAGTTCAGAATAAATTGGTGGAGCTTAAGTGTCCAGCTTTTTTTTTTTGAGCAAATGTTTGACTTGAAACGATACATTATCCTACAACAGTCAACTCCCGCATCAGGAGTTTGAAAGCAGATTAACAGAGCTTGGCATTGTATAACTGCACATTCCTGCTAGTGTTTACAAAACAAGAGAGTATGGCTGTGTATGTATGGCTGGAATACTCCAAATAAGATTTTAAACTAAAAGAAAAATCTAAAATCTTATTTTAAAGTTATATAAAATATGATTAGACAGGGATAGTAATTGTGCTAGTTTCCATCTCTAACTTGTGGGTTTGTTTAAAAGGTAGTTCACCCAAATAAAAAATAAAGAAATAAAAAACATTGTTTTTAATTTAAACAGGTTTGAGTTTCCTTCTTCTTTTGACACAAAAGAATATATACATTTTTTTCTTTTTTTTAAAAAAATATTTCCCAAATGATGTTTAACAGAGCAAGGAAATTTTCACAGTATGTCTCTTTTTTTTCTTCTGGAGAAAGTCTTATTTGCTTTATTTTGGCTAGAATAAAATTAAATAATAAAATAAAAAAATATTTTAAGGACAAAATTATTAGCCCCTTTAAGCTATTTTTTTTTTTCAATTAGTCTACGGAACAAACCATCGTTTGATTTGCCTAATTACCCTAACCTGCCTAGTTAACCTAATTAACCTAGTTAACCTAATTAACCTAGTTAACCTTTAAATGTCACTTTAAGCTGTATAGAAGTGTCTTGAAAAATATCTAGTCAAATATTATTTACTGTCATCATAACAAAGATAAATTAAATCAGTTATTAGAAATGAGTTATTAAAACTTATGAATAGAAACGTACTGAAAAAATCTTCTCTCTGTTAAACAGAAATTGAGGGGAAAATTAAACGGGGGCGAATAATTCAGGGGGCTAATAATAATTTTTATTACAACTATATTTTATATATATATTTTTTTATTTTTATTTATTTTTTATTCTTTTTTATTATTTATTAATTCATTTTCTTTTCGGCTTAGTACAGCACAGTGGAATAAACTGCCAACTTATCCAGAAAGTTTTACACAGCGGATGCCGTTCCAGCTGCAACCCATCACTGGGGAACACCCATACACTCTCATTCACTAAGGACAATTTAACTTACCCAATTCACCTAGCACATGTATGCATGTATGTATGTATGTATGTTTGTATGTATATATATATATATGTATATATATATATATATATATATATATATATATATATATATATATATGTATATATGTATGTATGTATGTATGTATGTATGTATACACACACACACACACACACACACATATATATATATATATATATACAATTTACAACATGACATGTGACAGAGTTAGCTATAAAGCTAATTTACATCTGTAATCCCTGGGCATGAAGTTGTAACAAGTTTAACAATAATAAAAATAAAAAAATAGTACAATATACACATAGTACAATTCATACAATACATCATAGTCAATAAAGTGCATGCTTGATTTTCTTTAAGCCAAGCTTTAAGAACAGTTTAAAATTATTAAAAGTGGTACTCTCTCTAATATGCATTGGTATGTTAATATGTTAAATGTTAATTAGTATCTGTAAATATATTTTGTCTTCAACAGAAGAAACTCAATTTTAGTACCAGAGACGAGTAAGTAAATGTTTCTTCCTCTCTTTTTCTTTTGTTTATTTGTAAATTATTCCTTTAAATCAGCTTTGGGCTGGATTTTTTTTTTCTAGGACCTGGCAACCCTATGGGAGCTGTCCGTCATGCAGCACAAATATTGCAGGACGAAGAATGAGGCTTACTGGGCTTGAAAAACATTCCACGACTCACTCAAACTTATCTTAGTTAAACAGCTTTAGTATATTTCCCAGGTCTTTGCGTGTTTCATAACTAAATGCAATTCTACTGACCATTGTAAACATTCTACAATGTTTATTCATTATTAAAACTTCGAACTGGATAAAACCTCATATTAAGGAATAACGAGCGATCATATTAGTAAACCAGGAATATTTCTTTACCTTTTCTTTGGTTTCCCACTTCTCGAGCACATCTTTGGCGAAGTTAAACCGCTGTGGAACTTGTATCTTGTAAGTGCTCCTCATGCTCTCGTAATCGCTGAAGTTTTTCGGTGCAGATGTTTTAAATCTGCACGTTTGCAGCCACTGACCTCGCGCGTATACTTCATTTCTCTGGCTGTTTTTCAGACAGCGTTTAAAAACATGATTGCTAAACACGTACAAGTTCATTATTAATCTTTATCGCTGTAAAGCTAAAGCTCTCAAGTAGTTGTTTCTCCAGCCCGACATTAATCACACAGCTGAAACTTTCACACGGATCGGCATCTCAGAATGGTTGCATTAAATAATCGTTTCCCTTTCTATTAAATCAAGTTCTGAAAATAAAAGTCCATCAAAGTTGAGACATTGCAGAACCTCAAGACCCAGTCCGGCTTCGTGAAAACAAACACTAAATCTCTCGTCTTGGCAGAAATGACCGCCTACAGAACTAAAGTCCTTCTTGTAACACTAAAACAAATATTAACCGGATGCAAATGTAACGTTTCTGGACACTCGCGTTACATGCAGTTACATCGCGTTACATAAATTACTGGGGGGGGGGGGGGGGGGGGGGGGGGAATCACCATTACTTGCCCAACAAAGAAGTGCAAGTCGAGTAAAAGTATATGTTGGTAATTAGTACTTAAAGTATGAGTAAATGGTAGCCCTTTAAAAGTACTCTATAGCAAGTATTACAGAGAAAGGCGTTTACATGTCATTTGAGCATGTGTGAAAACTTACCATTCTGTGGTGCAATTTAGTAATTAAGTCCATTTGGTGATGTTTATCTGTATTTACTGTATCATCTTACAGTAAACATCATCTTCTCATCAGTGACTTGCAGTCTATGAGTCATTGTTAGGATTTTAGACATCTTGGACACTTAATGCTTCCAAACGGTTTGCTGCATTTATTAAGAGCCTATGTCTTGAGGTGGTTCTGTATCATGCGATTTTTAAGTCTCTATATGCAATTTGACTGATCTGTAATTATAAGTCCTTTTTCGACTCAGAAAAAAAAGTAGTGATTGGAGGTTAAAGGAAAACAGTAGAGTAAAAGTATCGAGACAGTACTAAAAATGCACTCAAGCCAAAGTATGTACACATTTTTAAGTGTGGTTTACTTTTATAAACTAATTTTGGAGAGGGGGGAGGGGTTCTTCTGATTGACCACAACTGGTCCCACATTAGCTAACTCATAATGCACCAATCAGATAAAACCTAACTCACTATAAATAACCAGTTTCTCACTTCAGTTATTTTTGTCTTGAATAATCCCTTTTCCTACATAGGCCCAGTGGTAAGCACTGTTGCATTACTGCATTGTCAATAGTTCAAGTTTTTACCAAGCCAGTCAACGTTTCTGTGCAGTTTACATGTTCTCCCTGTGCGTGTGTGGATTTCCCTGGGTTCATTCCACCGTTCAAAAACATCCAACACAAGTGAATTGACTAAATCAAAGAGGCATGGACAAACTCTCAGTCAGCTATATCTCTCATAGCAAATTAAACTGGATCTAATTGGATTTGCATTGTAAACATTAAATAAAAGTCCAGGTATTATTTTTTTATTTTATATATTAAGGTTTTAATTATGATTCTCCCAAAATCATTCTGCATAAATCTAGATTTTTAACAAAAATCTCAGCAAAAAATGTCCGCAGATTCTGGCTGGCCCTACTCATTATGCATAACATACAGAGGAGCTCTAAACATCTACAGTTGAAGTCAGAATTATTAGCCCACCTTTAAATTTTTTCTTTCCTTTTTTTTTTTTTTTTTTAATATTTCCCAAATGATGTTTACGGAGCAAGGAAATGTTCGCAGTATATCTGATAATATTTTTTCCCTCTGAAGAAAGTCATTGTTTTATTTCGGCTAGAATAAAAGTTTTACATTTTTTAAACACCCTTTTAAGGACAAAATTATTAGCCCCTTTAAGCTATAAATTTTTTTTCATTGTCTACCGAACAAACCATTGTTATACAATAACTTGCCTAATTACCCTAACCTGCCTAGTTAACCTAATTAACCTAGTTAAGCCTTTAAACGTCACTTTAAGCTGTATAGAAGTGTCTTCAATAATATCTAGTAAAATATTATTTACTGTCATCATTGCAAGTAAATAAAATAAATCAATTACTAGAAAGGAGTTATTAAAACTTATGATTAGAAATGTGTTGGAAAAAAAAAAAAATCTTCTGGCCATAAACTGAAATTGGGGGAAAAAAAAAAAATTTAATAATTCGGGAGGCGGGGGGCTAATAATTCTGACTTCAACTGTACCTGAGCTCAAATTCCCCTCACCCTTCAAACGGGTGGGAGCTTAGGGCTCTCTCCCAGGACAGCATGACAAACAATCTTTAATATCAATCATCAGCTAAGTGTGAACAATTGAAAACTTATTATTTTTTAAATTTCTTTATTTAACAGGAACAATGCTCATTAATCAACAGTAAAACTGTAAATAAGCAAGAGTTAGCCACAAGAGCTAATTTTCATCTGTTGCCCCCTGCCAGATTTTAAAAGGCAACCTAAAATAAAAAAACATGTCATTACACATACAAAAACAGTAAAGTTACATATGACAAAAAGAGATAAAAACATGCAAGGAAGAATTTCCTAAAATATTAGACAAAAGGATTAAACATGATTACAAACTTGATTTGCTTTTAGCCATTTCTTTAACTTGTATTTAAAAGTAGAATAATTTGTAACAACCCTTAGGTCAATCGGAAGTGTGTTCCAATAATGACTGGCTCTAACTGAGAAGACTTATCGTGCAAAAGTTGTACGTCTAAACTGCACAGCACAGTCTCCTCTGGTAACAGATCGTGTTGCTTGACCGTTGTTGTTCTTGTGTGTCACAAACTCACATAATGGAGGTGGAGTATATCCATTTAAAATTTTAAAAATCATACAAACATCAGCCAAATATTTCATTCTATCAAAGCTCAATAAATACTGTTTTTGTATTATATTACAATGATGATACCTAATAGACTTCTGATCAAATACTTTCAGTGCCTGTTTATAAAGTGATTCAACTGATTTTAAAACTGTTTTACTAGCATGTGACCAACTAGTAAGACATTATTAAATTAATAGTAAATTATGGCCCAGTTTCACAAACAGGGCTTGGATTAAGCCAGGACTATATAGGACTTAGTTAAATTAGGCTGTTAAAGCCACATTTATAAAATGGCCTTAGAAAAATATATTGCTGGTGTACACCTGGAGACCAAAAAAAATTACACCGACTTAGACGACTCACTGCAAGTTATTTTGAGTTGAGAGACCTCAAACATGCAATTTAATAACAAGCAACTTGACTAGCCTTAAACCTGGCTTGCAAAACTTAAAATGACTAAGAAAAGCTACTCAACTACAGTCATTTGTGTATAGAATTCTAACATGTAAGAAATTACACAAATATGCAAAATAAATTCTATGAGTGTTCATAAATATGTCAAATCGACCATTTTAAATGCAGTTTTATCATTAACATTTAGGTAGAAAATAAGATAATCTTGAATAAGCACAAACAATTGAGACATTTTGTGGTCTAAAAAGATTTAATAAAACAAACATACAGCAGATAAAACAAACATTTAAGAAAAGGACATCAGAATTAATATGCATAAAATCGTATTAAGCGGAATAGAGATAAAAAGACTGGAAACAGATTCAGAAAAGAGTGCTCAGTGTCTGAGGCGAGTGCGTCGTGTGCGGGCGATGGGTGTCGTCACTTTAGGAGTCTCGCTCTCTGCCATGACAGCATCTGAAAAAAAGTAGTGTTAAATGAGTACATTTATGTATAGATTATGTTTACATGTATGTGTTTATCGCCATGCCAGATTCTGTGTCTGTTTCTCAATTCCAAGGATTCGGAGACCAAACTAGTGTTGTGTTCTTGTCAAGTTATCTCGAAAGAATGAACTCAGGAGACCGCAAGAACAGAGAACGTGTCCTATGAGAAATGAGATGCTGTGCTCTTTTGATGAGACGCATGACTTTAACGAAAAATGTAAACATTACAGCACTTCTACAACGATTTATTGTATTATTTTCCCCTTTTTCACAATATATTCCATGCATAGACCTTACAAATATTTTGCACAATAAAACTGACCTTAATATGAATTTCAGCAAATAAACACCCTTAATGTGTTTATGCCTTTATTAAGATTTTCATGGTAATGTTTACGTTCACAGTCTTGTTTAGAGAAACTCCTGAAATAAATGTTATATCTCTGAACTTCCATAGTAAATCTATATAAAATACTGCACTTCCCACCTCCTTTACTCAACCACAATGACTTATGGGACTTTGAGCAAGTTGTGCTCATGTTTACGCACGCTTCCTTGATAACAAAAACATCCGGGAACTTTCACACATCCTCGTTCTTGAAATTTGGAACTGAACTTTGGCAATGGTTGTTGATGTTACATGAGAACACAAGGACGCAGAAAAACACACATTAAGAAACAGCCTATGGCTCTTTCCATGTCGAGATGAAGAGCCTGTGTGCTCAATGTTCCACTCTGTGATAACTATTTTAAGTGAATAAATGTGATACTTGGAGCTTTTGGTGTCACCGCCTTTTCAAATATACACAGATTACAGAAATTTACTGTAAAACATCAGGTTAAACTACAGAAATTTCAATTGAAGGACATTTCTATAATTTAATGTCCGTTACTTTAATGTAAATTTCTGTAATTTAACGGGCATTATTTTACGTTTTATTTCCAGCACCGCAGCTGCCAGAAATAAACTAAAATTACGGATGTCTGTACTTGGCTACTTTCCAGTGACTTTGTACTTTTGACACTGGCTGTGCACTCAGTTGTGATTATTGTGGATGCTTTTGAAAAATAGTTTCTATATATGGCAAGAAAATATATATTTTTGAGTTAGAACATAAATTTTTTACTATTTATTTTTGCTAAACTCCAAAACAAAATTTGGTTTAAGGGTGTTAAATATTGTAGAAAAATAAATGCAATCTCACTTAATTTAAGGTGCAGTATACAAGTTTGACACCCAGTGGTTGAACTAGGTATTGCACCCCTGGATCAAAACAGACAAGCGCAGGTTGCCAGATTGAGGACAGAAGCGAGTGATTTAAACCTGTTCTAAATAAATGTAACTGCACCCAATAGAAGGAATATTTTCCACATTAAAAGAAGTTTTTGTTCTAACCAACTCCTCAAATTGATATATTAGAAACGGCTCCTATTTCTCACAGGTGAACAACAGAAAACTATGAAAAGCACATGAGGTTTACCTGAGGTGATCATTGTCAGGTGTTAAATGCTAGCGATGCAAGTTTGAATGCCATTTTACATGACATTTATTGCCATATAACATTAC